AGCCTATTTTCGTATGTCGTATCAAAATCTTCTTGAGACTTTGCATTGTCGCTGACAGCTGCAGAACGGAAATGGAGAAGTTCTCTTTCATTGGTGTTGCTATCTTTCGCCGGGAAAAATGCATGGTTCCACCCCATGACATGGTAGTAAAATCAAACTTGATTCTTAGATCGCAGAGAGTTCTTGACCTATGATCAGTCTTGAGCCCCCAAGTTTTGGTGACGTGTAAATTCCACTTGATAATTCTACCATCGTGGAACCCAGGAATCCGAGTGTGCTTACACTTCGTGCGGGCTCAATTCTTTATAGAAGCAGTCCGTAGTTTTTGGCGCCCCCCTGATTCTTCATGGGAAACTCTTAGCATGAGTTTGAGCAATTAAAGTTCCGGATGCTTCTGTATCCAGTAAGCAACAGAAGGTAACGGGTTTTTCGTTTCCCTTTCGCTCGTCTGTTAAATCTAACTAGACGATAGTTTCAAGGTCTCTTGCCGTCGACGTTGATGAGTTGATGGCCATGACGAAGTTAACGATGCTGAACAGATTGTCAGTGTCTAGTTGAGCAGTTACTAGGCAATTATCTAATTTGCCGTAGACTTCGTAAGTTGCAAACAAATCTTGTTACACTATTTAGTGAGATATCTTCACACTTAGGTATGAGAAATCGGAACATGTTTCCGTTGAATCATCATCCTGGCCTAATCCTCAGACGGAGATCTCTCCATCCGAATGATTGAAGTCGAATTCGGCAGCGCCTTGTCGACAGCGGCCACACTTCTTGTCCATCATGTGATGTATCCAACAAGGAGTCGTCCTCGTTGTCGGAGTTGTCAGACTGGCGCTTGGCAACATGGTTGCATTCGCTTTCTTCTTGCGATCAGCCTTGACTGCAGCGTTGGAAACCTTCTCATGAGGACAGAGAGTTCCTTTGGTGTAGGAACTTGGCTCGTCGGCTTGCGTTTCCAATTCTTGTTCTTGTTTTCGTTGGCTTGTTTTCGTGTCGACGAGGACTGAGACTTGCCCTTGACTTCTTCAAAGTCATGCAGTCAGCAGTGTTGTGAGTGCGGACTCGTGGTAGTCGACACCATTTCTCTTCGTTCTTGGAAGATGGGCGTTGTTGCGAGTAGACTTGTACTTCTTGCTGTTTGTCTTCTTCGAGAGGACTTTCTTGGCATAACCGCCCTTGTCAAAGTCTCGGAGGATTCCATGCGTTGCAGAATCCAATTGGTTTCCCCGATAGGAGCTGAGAAGGGATGAAGTCGTGTTCGTCATTTTCTTCATCCACGAGCTGTAATTCCATGACAAACAATGTCAATGACTTCGTCATGGTTCAATGTTTGGTTGGGTCAAAAGGTGGTAGCGAGGAAGTTCATCGGTGTTCATCCGACTGAGGTTGTTGACATAAGCCCAGTAGCATATCACAGGCTTACCATCTTGCGGCGCATGAAGCGTTTCTGCTTTTCAAGAGCCTTGTAGGGACATACCGCTTCGATACAGGCATTTATGCAAAACGTAATGTCAGCGTCGTCCAAGCAGGCTGAGCTGCTCTTTTCCAGCAGCCTGGAAAAGTGCTTGAAAGTGCTTCGTCTTCACCGCCACGTTTGTCGCGAGGAGGAATCGGTTGACTTCAATCTGGCGCAATGCATCCAACGTATTTCACGGTGGCCTGCACAGCTAGATTCTAACTGCTCTTTGCAGAGTAGAAGTCATTCCTTGAGGAGGTTATGTTTGTCGTCAGGGGAGCAATGCGAGCCCAACGAAACCTTCTCCATAGCGTCCACCCCATTGATGGTTGACGTGGAGTCTCAGATCCATTATATGATTTGGACCTTGAAGGTGTACTTGGTCGCTGTTAGCATCTGCGAATAGTGCGAAGTTTGTAGTGGTAGAGCGAGAATCGCCGATTTCGCATTCTTCATCGAGGTCGATGAGAGGAAGATTGTTTGTCACGCAGCTTGGACTCGAAGATGGTGTATCGTCTTTGGCATCTTCATGATGAGGAATATGGTTGAGGGTAAGCTGGAAAGTTTTGTGTTTGTTTTAAAACAAATCAACTAGCTAAAAACTAGTGTAAAGGAATCTTCTCGTGTGTTGTTTGAGTTGAGAAATGAAAGTTATGAGAGGATTAAGAAAGCTATGAAAACTAATCAACTGAGAGAGATCCAAATCAAAGGATCGTAGATTCTGAACTCCCCGGGGACTGTAGAGTGTGTTAGAGTAGGTTGCGGTAGCGATCCTACTCACTCCACGATCCAAAAACGGAACGCGTGGAGAAATTCGTCTATGCATTTATCTAGTAGCGTGGAGTCTCTCCACGCCAGATAAATATCCAGCGCGTGTGTTTGTTGCAGCTGTTTTTGTCACATAAGGGACACTTGCTTTGTTAAGGATAGGGATTAATATTGTGTGTTCTGTTGGACACAGTAGTTTCTACACATGGGTACCAGTAATGGCTGGCTATGCAGACTCGCTAGTGTGTCCAGATAAATACGGTGTAGGTTTTGCCAAAGACATAAGGGACAATTTCCTTGTTAAGGATAGGGATTGATATTGTGTGTTCTGTTGGACACAGTACTTTGGACCCGTAGTACTGGTTGGCTATGGAGACTTGCTAGTGTGTCCAGTTGAACACGGTACCTGGTACAGTCAACACTCACTTAAGTTCTGTTTTCTTAAGTTCCATTACTCTACAAAGTTCGTCTTTTTCAGGGCTGCCCCCCTAGTCACTAGTTCTCATGACTGACAAGTGAATGTGCTTTGTGGCAGCTTGAGACAATGCTGCCAATTAGGACAGCTGTTAGGACCCAGCATTCAGATTGTTCATTTATACATATATGAAGTTTCTTCATCTATCTTTCATGACAAGCATTTTAGAGAGCTCGAAACTAGCCACGTAGCATGTTCTACTGGTCGAAGACAATACAGACACCATACATAGGAGCAAAGCAGATCCACCCCAAGACCGCTTATCTCCTTTTACCCCAACAACAAGAGAACTCAACAGAAACCACCCCAAATAGGCTCCGATACCACGAACGGGCTGATATGGGCTCCAACTGACCCTCTATAAAGTTCCGTTTTTTCTTAATGCTGGGGGTTGGAACTTTAGTGAGTGTTGACGTGTTGACTGTAAAGGACTTGACCAAAGCTAGGAACGATCCGACAGTGAGAATATTCTCGCTGTATATTCCACCCTGTTCTTTTGGGGCAGCCACAGTGAAACCAGCTGGTAAACAAATGTAAATGGGTCTGTAAGTGTCAAATTTAGATACATAACGTCGAAATACAATAAATAAGTCCCAAAAGTGGACGAAATATGCGTTTAAATACCCTTGTATTAAGAATAACCGTGAAGTGCTTACTGCATGTCATGCCTCAGTTCCAACCACAAAGTTCATTTTGTTGATGTGGAAAGGGCCATGGGATGATCAGGAAGAACTCAACCAATATAGTACCTACACAACCAAGCCAACTATCTAGTGTTGGCTACAATATCTGCTTGTCACAGCCATGTGCTGGTTGCAGTGGCGACAGCCATATAGAAGGCATTATCTTATGCTAAAGTAGATGCTTTATTTTTCTTCCCAATACCACAAAGTTCCGACCATGATGACTATGACAACTCTACCGTGCCACCAGTAGTGGCTACTATCAATAAAAACAAAGGAGCCGGTAGACGCTTCTTCCATTCAGCGCCACTCTTCTTCCATTCCCTGTGCCGCACTACTTCTTCGGGAACACGGTTCAACGCCGATTGATCGACACCGTTTTCGTATTGGCTCCTCTCTAGTAGTCCTCGACCATGATGATCGCATAGAAACAGCAGCTTGGCTGTCTCCAAGTTTTTTTATTCGAACAGGTGTAGACATAACTGCAATGGCAGGGCTCGATTCAACCGGAATTGGGATCTCAGCTCAGCTGTAGACTGGCGGCACCAATGGTAATTCAAAGGATGGCTGCCTAACTTTGCCAGCCGTTCGTTCCTTCAATGACCGGCAAATAGAGAAGCCACTACTACCACTGCGACGGGCACATCTAAATTATGTACTCCCTATCTCAGGGTATGGATAGAGTGGCTCTATTGGTTCTTCTGGTAGGGCATCTTTGACAGCCAAGGTGGTGTCTTTAAACATGAAGATGAGCAGACCAGGAACATGAAGCCACAGGAGGTGGCAGTGAAACGTCAGGAAAAAGGAAATTGTTCCCGAGCGTTCCAGAAGTTCCCCAGCAGATTCTCCCTGACGGTTCATTCTCCCTGTCGGATCGTTCCTAGCTAGAAAGATGTTAAGGATTCGATTTGGGAATCAAATCACTTTTTGACCAGTTGAGGGCATCAGCCGCGGCTGTTTGTTCTTGTGTCGATAGCTTCTAAAGATTCGATTCAGCCTGTACCAGTACTGGCTTCCATCAGACAGCAGCAGCCGCTGCCACACGACGAGCAACAAGAATTGATCGATCGTCCACTGTTTGAATTGTTTGAGTGGAGGGAAACCGACAAACAGCAAGAGTAGGAGCAGAAACAACAACATACTGGCATAAACAATCCATGAAATCATAGAGGCACGAAGCGATAAAACGCAGGACGAAGAGCGTCGGCAGGAACCAAACGTTCGAAGGAACTAGCGGTATACCGCCAAGGCAACCAGCTCCGAGAACAGGAGTGGAATTGGAAGCGGAAACGCCAAACGCAAGACGAAGCAAACAAGAGAAGAAGCCGAAATCGAAAGCCCCACAAGAAAGCAACATAGGAGTCAGCCGACAGTGGAAGAACGAAGCAATCAAAACGAAACGAGAAGCACGAAGCAACACAACGAAGCGACAAGAGCCCAAGAAAATTGCCGGCAACAAGGAGCACCGACACAACTAGAGAAGAAGAGCTCCGACAGAAGAAGACCAGATGAGCGAACGTAACCAAGAAGAGGAACTAAGGTCCCGGGACGTCCAACAATCAACACACCAACAACAACCACGACAACAATAGCACCAACGATGTCTGCAACAACGATGTCCACTCCATCTGTTTGGGTTCAGCTCTACTACGATGGAAAAGGTGAAGAGGGCTATCCTATTAAAATTAGACCAATTCCGGAAGATGTTGCCGACTTGGCCAAGGAAGTAAAGGTAGAGAGACCAAATGCCCTCAGCCATTGTGATGCCGCAGATCTTTCCGTGTACTCCCCTGGCACTAAACCACCTTTCTCTCAAGACAACGCTGTGGATCCTGGTGACGATGTACCACCCAGTACTACCTCCAAGAATCCCTTGATTGTGGTGGCGCCACAGCCGCAACGAGATGGTGAGAATAATTTTGAATTTTTTCATTTGTTTATTGTTGAATTTATTCAAATCGTCCTTCGCTAACACTTCATCTTCCCCCTTCCCCGTAGACCACACTGATGCTTTTGCCCGAATCGAGAAAAAATTGGATGACTTGGCAAGTGTTGATGTTCCCATGTCAGAAGCAACATCACATTTTGCATCATCATTGCTTGAGGATCTGAAGGTGAAAATTACAGTCCTCCCTCCAAACACAGATCCTGGAGAAGGGCAGGTGCAAACATATTCTTGGGGGGACAATGAACATGAGATAGACGGACAACCAGGCTGCAAGCAAATCCTAGAGAAAGAGATTTTGCCCTTGTCTGTGAATGACCAGGAGTACGCCTTGTATGATGCACGCAGTCAGTCGCTTCGGCTGCAGGCTGGGAAGCGCAAATCGAATGGATTTTCTGATCTTGCTGTTGGTCCTCGTATATCGATGGACTTTGCAGAGACTACAGCCAAGGATATAATGCTTTCCTACACGGATGCACTCGTGGAGCTCAAACGGGCAAAATCAAACCTAAAGCTGGGGCAGCTGCTCCTGCAATTGGTCTCTCTGTCTGAGGTCTCTGAGAACCGTCAAGGTGTTCTGGTGTTGGGCACCGACTGTGCAACGAAGTGGCGATTGCTGCATTTTTCAGACTACAACAGGATCATGGTGCAGCCCTACAAACACGGAAAAAAGTGCATTGCCGATTTCAAGACCCTAATGGAAAATTGTACAATGAGAAAGGAAGCTAATGTGCCCCCTGAAAAATTGGCTATCATCCATGAAGACACTGGTGTGGAAAATGATATTAAAATGGGAGAGTTTGGGATGGAAGAAACTAGCAAAGACAAGGCAATTGCTCGGGAAACAAAGCTTAGAAAGCTTGCCAGTGCATTGGAATATTGTTATGGTGAAACCTTAGAAGTTCCTGCTTGGGCGAAAGCATCAGAAAGCTGCCGCTCATACTTTGTGTGAGGCAGATTTGGGATTTGCAAGATGATGTCTTCCTCTAGTAGGAAGTGCAAAAGTCTAGCCATTAGATAAAAACGTAACAGTTGACATATGGTGGTTAAAATAGCCTGCCCTGATGCTTGAGGGGCCACATGTGTAATCTAACTGTTTATTATGGAATGTGATGGAGAGTGTCCATGAATTCATTCTACTCCAACATGCATTGATGCTAGGGTTCGGATACATGGGAAGAATGCCAGAGAATCGAATCAACTAAAACGCCTAACTAGCTGAACTGCGTGAGATCTTCAGTTGGCTTCTGGCCAGCACATCTATCTTTTCCTAGCCCAGATGTTAGGGAGGGAAAGAATCTTGCTATACCGACTCGTTTCTTCCAACCAGTTTACTCGAGGCAGCATGTCTCTCCTGATTGCTTCATGCGGCCAACTGTGGACTTGAAGCTACGGCCAGGCTTGGCTGTCATTAGTCCGCTGCTGGGGTATTTCGTTCTTGCCAGAGAAGTGGATTGAAGACGGCGGGATGTCGGCCACTGGTCAAGGAACCAATCTTGACAGCGAAATGGAATTCCTTCGTAACAGGATTTCCTTGGTACCTGCGCACCCTGCTGGAAAGCAAGCTGGCAGATTTTTGCTTTTTGAAACTCGAGGCATCGTGGCTCCAACCAGCTTCTCCCCTTTACGGAGCCAGCAGCGCTTGCTTCTTCGGAGAGAACTGAATGGGTTACAAGTTACAATGTGGCAGGGGGCTTCGAAAGTTGTGCAAGTCACGGTGACATCTTTGAAGTCCAGGCTTATTCCCTGAGCTTATTAAAGTAATAATGAAGGCATATCCTGCACTCTACACTGCAACAGTTTGACCATTGCACATGCGATAAGCAAAACTGTCATACACTAGATCTACTTGTGAAGCTCTTATTGGTACTAGTGGCTCTTGTACCTGGTACGGTACATCGTACTAGTACGGGTACCGGTACGATTCCAGCAGATGGAAAACCCCTCTCAATTCTCAATGGTCAAAGTTGCCAGAAACTTGGACATAACAACTTCGATAGCAACGAACACCATGTTCTTGAAAAGCTTTTCTGCTCAAGTGGGATTGAGCCTGCCTTAACGTTTCAATTATTAAAAGGAGCCCCTTGGATTGCAATGGATTGTTGGCAAGATTCTCCGAATCCAATTGACACGAACACAAAGGACAAAGTTCGGTCAGTGTGACATAATCATGGTCACAAGCAAAACGAATGGGTGGCTTTTATTGTCGTAGGAGCTGTCGTAGGTGTAGCTTACTGTGGTTTGAAAGTACCGTCATCTATCGGGTGTCTCATGTTCGAGGCTTGTATCGGCCTTCCCAACCAACAACCAACCCTCGTCACTTACTTGTCGGACTGTTTGTTGCAAAATGAAATCATTAATTTTCCTCCGTACCGGTACTGGTACCGCACCTCTCCATTGCCTGTTGCCTGGTTGCGAATTCGGATTGCCCGAAGCCCGAAGCCCATTGACCTATTCTTTGGAGGAAAAGCAGGAGAATAGTCGAGTCAGTTGTCGAGTCTCTCCCCAGGGCTATTCTTCGATTCTTCGTACTTTACTGTACAGCTACTGTACAAAAACAGCATCTCAATTGCCAGATCGATGCGAGAGACGTGATCCCATGCATGAGAGCTCATAAGTTGTGGGTTACGCAAGCTTGTGCAGTGTGGTGGCAAGTGGCAAAGCTGGTGGAAAGTGGAAGGCACTGGAAAGGGGCTGATGAGGCAAAGATACTGGGTTCTCTTCATGGAAGCAGCATGGAAGAGCTTATGGATTATGGAAGCTACTGTACACTTCATTTTCCCCGTAAGATCGTAGTTGTGCACCCACCGAAAAAGGCACACAATCACACAACATCCCCTCCAGAGCAAACGAACTAAAGTATCTCTTTTCACCGAAGCCATCACATTTTTCACCAACAACAAGATGACCAACAACAAGATGACCAAATCCAACATGCCAGCTACAGTGAGCAATGCTCTTACCGAATCGCAGAGACGAGGACTCTTCCAGAACACCACAGACTCTGCTTCCGCTACCATTGGGGTTGATGAGCGAGGGGAACGGGCTCAACTTACTGAAGGGCGGGCTTCGATGTGGCCACAGTTGTCGCTGTCAGGCCGTGCCCAAACACAAAGGGAGTCTCTAGCGGCAATTCTCGACGAAGCTCTGGCGCTGCTTGACGAAGAATTGTTTGACGACGACGACGCGGGGGGCGAATCCGTTGGCTCTAGTCAGTGATCTGGTTGCCTCGAAGCCTCCCTCCCCCTTCCCTCTCCGCTAAGTCAAATACATATTACATTGAAGAAGACGTATACATATCATCGATTGCATACCGGTAGCACTCACTAAAACATAAACAATCTTTAGACACAAGGCCAAAACCAACTCCGAGTAGTAATGTTCTACTCCCGTAGGCTACCTTGTAGTAGTCCAACTTCAAAATTGCTTTCACGGGCCAACCCCGGTTGCAACCGTTAACACACAACGTTGAAGTACATCGTCTGAGTCTGTGGAGGGAGGAACTCTACTAGCTAGCTAGCGTCGGTCTCTTCATGTTCAGGACGAAGTGGGCCCTGAAAGGTGTCTTTTTGGGGGTCATCAGGGCCACTGGGGCGAATGACCATGCAACTGTGCCATGCCAAAGGGAACTCTATACTCGTTGATGAAGCAAATGAGAGGGTCAGTCTGGGCTCGCCTTGTCAGATCGTGGTGTGGCTGGAGCCTCGTTGCACTGATGACCGACCATCATGAGCCCAATGGCTCGTCGTCATATCCTTGGGGATGTCCTCATGTTGGAGTCGCGGCGAGAAGGACGGCACGTGTGTCCTGGAGCCTTGACATCCGTGTTGGGTTGTTTGGAGAAAAGGAAAGGTCCTCGCTCCACTCTTTTGTGCGTTTACGGTCCTTGCCGGTTCCGTAAAGCTTGCCTAACATGGGATCCCAATCCCAGGCAGAGGCTCTAAGAGAACCTGGACACAGCACCACGAAACGATTAAGACTACCTACATCTCACTACAATCAGTGCTGTGGCTGAAGGCACTCCCACAGCAAGCGCAGCTGGTGTGGAGTATACATGACATCCTTGAAACTTGCCGACACACAGGTCAAAGATTGGGCGGGCGGTGACATAGTCAGCCAACCTGTTGCTCCACCTCTCGAGATATGTCGAGATGGGATGCAAGCCGGCTGTACTCGGCCCAATCAACTGGTGGGGAATGCCAAACGCCTCCAATTAGCTTGGCATTTTGCCAGTAATTCGGCGAGCGACCTTGTGATGAAAGCGTTCCAATAGGGCGAGCGACCTTGTGATGAAGGCCTTCCAATATGCGAAGCATGGTGGAAGTGAGGGTCCATGTCTCGGACCCATACAACAGCACCCTCACACCCTTTTAAAACCAAAACTGCCAGGAACCCTGGGCTTCGCACCTTCTCAACTCTTTTGTGCCAGGGTCTTTCCCTTTTGGAAAGATACCATCATGGGGCGTACATATTTGCTTCCTCTTGTTATGTTTTTAAGCAAGTTTTCTTTTGCCAATAAAGAGGATGCAAGCAAGCGAGATGCAGAGCGAGGGCACAAGGCGCAAGAGGCAGAGGTGAGGTGCCCAAGGACGGGAGCTGGAGTACGGTACCGGTAGAGGTGCGGTTGGTCAGAGAGACTGTTGCATGCACAATCGAGCCGCAGCAAATCCCGCTGTCAAGCTTGTGAACGAGTTTGTTGACCTTGTTCTGGGTTCTTGCATACCGGTATGTTCGTGGTCACATTCATTCCTCCGGAGCTATCGTACGTCTGTATGACATCCGACACAGACTACTACGATCTGTAGTAGATCAGGACGCCAAGCTAGCAAGAGTTTCCGTGATGTGATTCAGCACGGCGTGCGTGAGATGCCGCGAGGCTGGCTTAGATTTTTTTCAACTTTTTAAAATCGAAATAGAAAAGGGTCTTCATTTTTTGGCAGTCCATCACCACACCAACTAATTCTGCCACCGCCACCAACAAGAACTTTCAAAGATGACGAAGATGGTGGGAGGCACTGCTGTTGTGTTTGTGCTTTGTATTCTGGCACCCTTGAGCTTGGCCAGGATTTCAGATAATAGTAGGAATCGTTATCAGAATGCGTCTCTTGTTGCGCAGCGATCGTTGCAAGTGGAGGGAGAAGATACCATTGAGGTTTTTGTGCTAGGCAACAATGGAAAACCAGAAGAAGTGTACCCGTTGCCCCGGTGTGCTGGTAAGCACTTGTATGGAGCCTGTTGGACATGATAGTGTAGCTTTCTCTCAATGAAAAATGCTCTCTTTTTGTGTTGGTGCAGGGGACTGTGACGACGACACTGAATGTGAGGAGGGCCTTGTTTGTCACGAACGTGATGCCTTGGAACCCGTTCCAGGATGCCTTGGTGGAGACGAAGACGAGTCTCGTACCGACTATTGCATTCAATCAGCAGACTGGAGTGAAAATCCCACTGGCAGTCCCACTGTATCCCCTACCTACGGACCAACCGCCTCCATGTCTCCCACTGGAGGTCCCTCCTTGTCCGCGTTTCCCTCGGTGTCACCCACCCACCAGCCAACTCGCACCCTCGTGGCCGTAGGGCCCTTCCAGCTCAAGGTGCACTGGACAAGGAGATCCTGTTGGACCCAATCGGGAAATGAAATCCCAATCTGCAATCGAGAAGTTACGAAGTGGTGTATGCAGGTAGGTGCTGGAATACATAAATTGTGTGTCTTGCATGCTGCTCACATGTTTCTGTTTCCCAGTGTGAGGGTCATATTTGTAACGAGGGAGATATCCTTTGGGTAGAGCCTTGCAGAGATGACGTTCCCACGCAACAATTGTTCCGATGGTTCCCTCTCTTGAGTACCACGGAAGTTTCCATTTCACGGTCAACACCAATCTCCTGGGGACAGTTACAAATGCAGAAACCATCCAAAGAGTGGCTTTGCCTGCAACGAAGACTTGGAACTCAGAACCACACCCTTCAAGAATGCGATGACACGGTAGGAGAGCAGTGGTACAAGGGATTCCATGAGGAGGAACCCTTTGAGATCATGGCATCCGTACCCGAAAAGGTTCAGGACCAGTGTTTGACCATGCCGCACCACGCACGACAATTCGAGGAGATTGTTCATGCTAGTTGCTCGGCAACCCGCAGGGATCGAACCAGCAAGTGGGAGGCGCTCTGGCCAGACTGGGAGGAGGCTGCAAAACATGACTTTAATGAGAAACGCTACTATCGACTGGGACCCGAACGAAGGAGTCCTCGGTGCAGTGAAGATAGGAGATGCGGCATGTGTCAAGGCCATTGTGAGAGCTCGGATGAATGTAACGGCGAGCTCAGGTGCTTTCGAAGGAGTAGCTCCACCGGCAATCGATTTGAAACGCCTCCTGGATGTTTTGGAAGTGGTGTATCTAGTAAGTCAAACCAAGGTCTTGTCGTATTGCCATTCGTCTGCTGTTACACGGAGCCTGACAAATGTCCCCCCTTTCCCAAATTCTAAAGGCATGGACTATTGCTATGCAAGACGTGGAAACTAAAGTTTTTGTAGATACGTATTCTACATGAGACTAGATAGAATGAACACTCCTGGTCTTAAATTCCGGAGTAGACGCATGGAGATGAGGGCTCGTTGGAAATGAATTTGTTATATCAATCCATAGCTTTGCCCTCCCAGCACATATCAACTAAACGAATAGCCAGGAGGTTATTGGTGTGCGTATTTTTGATTGGCTAGCTAGCATTCAGTAGATACTAGCTAGTAGAAGGAATTGTATGCTTCTAAAGGTGCGAGGTATCAACATAAGGAATGAATCGAATCATCGATGAGGTACGGATTGGGTCCGTCTCTTCCTCTCGTTGCTGGGCACCTTGCTCATCTTTCTTGGCCTTTTTGCGTCGTGTCCTCGCGGCTGCTGGCTATGTCTGAATCTCGACCCCGGCCAAGATTTGACGCCAGATCCAGAGCAAAGAATCGTCTGGTTCGACAGTCCTCCAGCATCTGATGGGCCCAGTGGGAGTTGGCATGTGTCCTGGACACTCCCGCGGATACACCACAGATGCATTCTTCATACTACCTTTGCCAACAAATTGCTCGTTTGACATACATCAATCGCCACCTTTCGAAGCACTTCTGCATCATCTTTTGTGGGAAGAGGCAGAGGAAATTCCAACGGAGGTTGCATCCTCCGAGCTCTTTCCCACCAAGTTGCAGCATCATAGGAGGTTGGAGGTTCCTGTTGTGTCATGGTAATGTAGAGCACAAAAGCTTGCAGGAGTGTTCCATGTGGGCTGGGATGAAAATTGTCCCCATCATAAAGCTGTTTCCAGAGTTCCTGGTCAGAGTGATAAATGCGAGCATACGCAAGCCCTACCGGAGCAATGCGTGTTGATTGAGTGGACAATGGGTTTAGCTCTTTCATGGCTTGATCCACTTTTTCTTTGTACAATAGATAGCCTTCTGTCAGTAACTTGGTGTAGTGATCAAAATCGCCCAAATCAGAAGTTCCTCGAATGTCCACTTTGCGATAGGCCGCTGTCTGTAGAAACACAGGCGTGGCACCCGACTGTACCATCAATGGCACGTAGTCTTCTTTCAGCAAGTTCACTGTCTCTGTGCGTGACGCCTCTCGTGCTGGAGACTGAGTATGATCATTGATAACGACAAAGTCAAACCGCTTATTGTGGTCCTTGTCTTCCAGTAAACTCTTGACAGTGGGTGCACCGATATCGTAGGATCCATCGGGCCTAAGAGCATTGTGCGTTCGGAACTTGTTTCGCATGCCATTGCCCTGTTCCCACAAGGAGATAATGGAGGCACCACCTCTCAAGCAGGAGTTTTGGTAGACTTCGTCATAATAACCGCCTGCTGCTTCTTGAAGCATTCGTTCCAATAGTCTTGGACAATCATTATAATATTGAATAGAGTTTCCCAAGCAGGCAATGCGGATACGTCGCGCGTTGCGTCCACTATGATTGTCATTTGGTGCCTTTGCAGTTGGCGACTTTATGGCCAGGGAAGCGGCAACAGCAAGCGAGAGCCCTGCCAGCACCAAGGAGAACAACGATGTCGTCCAGGAAGAGGACGAGATACTGGTAGAGGAGCCAATAGTAATAACCATCTTATTCCCATCGCATGTTGCATGTCCTCCTCTATCATCACGACTTTCGAAGGGTCAAAAGATCCAACTTGCTTCGACGCTCATTTGCTCTCAGATGCCTCGCAAGAAGCTATTGTACGCAAAGACCATGATTTTTGGGATGGGAGTTGGTCGAGTCGAGTCCACCGCCCCATATGTACAACGGCTTGTTCTGATGCATCGTGTTTTTATACCGCTTTGAAGACAAAGCGCGGACGAAGATCCTGCCTCTCAATCGTCCTTTAGCCTTGCGTTGGTTTGCTTGGCCAACGATCCAGCAGGACACACAACCAATGTTTCCTTGAATGATCTGGTCTAAAGCTACCTGGTAGGAACAATTCAAACGTTGACGGACAACTCTATGTTTTACTATGCGCTCTATTGTCGCCAGATGGAGGTTACCGGTATGATACGTCAATCGAATACGTTACATCTCGTTGCAGAACGTCCATTCCACAATGAATTTTGGTTCCATGGCGACTACTACGGACTTCACGTCCGCATGATAGTCCTTGAAGGCTCCCGTACCGCCAACCGTGAATCCATAGACAAAGTCTTCCGCCAAGGCAGGCTCGTAGGTGTAGGACAGCGAAACAGCCACGAAAGCAGCAACATCATAAAAGTGGATCGCGGCAGAAGCGGTAAAACCACCAGTGGGATCGGTGATCAAGTTTCCACGAAGTCGGGCCACAGGGTTTCCAGTCAGGTCTATATTGGTGTACATTGGCAAGGTGAATGTCCCAATGGAGGAGCTCATGTTGAAGCCATAGTATTGTTTGTCATTGATAACCATAGCATCTTCAGAGAGGGTCCATTCATACAACTGTACACATGGTGCACTCTGGTTCTGAGCCAGAAGCATTTCTGACGAAAAGTTGGCAATGACGAGGTCATCTCTGGTTGCATTGGCGCTGTTGCTCATTGAGCGCCCAGGTTGACGCAAGAAATTATGACCCGAGGTCAAGCTCAGTTTCAAGCTGAGTAGCGCGAGGCTGATGAAGTGTAGATTCATTTTGGAAGTGCTGTTTGCTTGTTTTCTCTTTTAGAGTTTTTGTTTGGTTTGTTGATTTGCGTGGATTGTGAGCTTGTTGAGCATGGTTCCATCTCGTGCGGCTTGAGTTGGCAAAGCAGCCCAAGCTCATAGTTAGCAGCCAAAGGAGCACCTTTGGATGCTACTTTCCTCTTCGATCTGTTCTAAAGATCTGTTCTTGATGAACACCACGATTGCACCGCAAGAGGGACAGGATGGCCGTGGGAGTCGCAGCACGAACTGGATTAAACCCAGCTAAGCTGCTGTTTTGCGGTTGCTTCTGCCTCTTTGAGAGTTGTTGAGGGGCAGCAGAGCATGTCAACGTACCCGTAGCGACACATACCGGTATGCATAACGGTAGCGGTATCCCAAATTCCTGCGTGGGACAAATCCCAGAAAGCCCGTTGGACAAGCAAGCAACCTGAGGCCACCTACCGAAAGCAGCAGAGAAGACGGTCGCATCGTCGAAGAATGATCATGAATCCTGCCAGCCACATCCAAGCATTCTTGGATCATGTTCTAGCTCGCCATTAGAGCTAGCTAGCCAAGTCCATGTCATTGCAGTCCACTTGGATGGAACGCAAAAAGTCTGAAAGCCTTATCTTTGAGAATGGCTAGCGAACTAGCAAGCTACTAGTAGCTACGGTAGCTAGTCCAACAACAATCAACGTTTCAATGAAAGATTTACATATGCCTTAATAAAAAGCTTGCTTGCAAAACAAAACACTCAGTCTTGCCTATTGAAAGGCTGAATCAGTCACTGCAGAAGACCTGAAGGTAATACATGTACTTCCGGTACATTGGGTACGGTATACGGTACAGCTTGGCGGGCAGAGAAGCAGATCTCTCTCCTCCTCCTTCAACTTAAGTTCTTGATAGATAATATGGCAGCAAAAGGTCGGTTGCGAGCACTGCTTCCTTGATTGCTTTGTTTTCACGTGCTCTTGGGCTGCAGAGGGCTTGAGAGAGGAGGGTGCCAGGCACGTTCCGGCTTGTTTGTGCTTGCTTGCTTGCTTCAATCATGCAGAAGCGGCTGTGGTTGGGATCTGAGCGGCCATGGTGATGTTGAGAAAGATCTCATCAAAGAGTGCTGCGGTAAAGGCGGACGAGGACGAGTCTTCCATGGGAGGTTCAGGAACTTGTCCCGACAGGAAATGTACCTGTTGCAGCAACTGGGAGGCATCTTGAAAGTTGCAGAGCTCTCGGTGGATGTGTGCCTGATTGTTCAGAGCCGCCACCACCAGCGCTCCATAGCTTGAAGAAAGATCTTCTATCAGTCTGGCAGCAAGATCATACAGGTTGATCGCCTTGCGGAGCATGGGTTCTTGGCAGCGCACCTTGCCATGTTGGTGGAAAGCCAAGGCGAGGTTAAAGAGAATGGATGCGTTCAGGAAGACGAGGTCAGTCATGCTGACATCGCTGGGTGGGTCCAAGACCAATGCCCGGTTGTAAACGTAAAAGGTGTCTTCATCTTCTTCGAGTCCTGGGATTTCGACAAAGGGGAAGTGAGCAATGCCGTCGGAAGGAGCCATGATAATGTCGCTCTCCTCCTCTCGTGAGATTCCCTCCATGATAATCAGGGCCTTCTTCAAGAACTTGACGCCTTGGCCGCCGTTGTTTGAGGCCATATAGGCGGCACCAGCGTTATTCAAGCTGCAGGCATGCTGGATGAGTTCCATTTGGTTGGTCAAGTCCGAGTCGCTGTTGCTGCTGGTATTCATCATCATGGTTGACGCGGGTAACCTTGCTCCTTCTGATCACTCTGAAAGAAAAGAAGTCAACAAAAAGAAGGGCGCTTTGCTCTGATGAGTTTTGATTTGGTGTGGGTTTTGTGACAAGCGAAGCATGTAAATGAAGGAGAGGGATGATGAAATGCTGAAGAAGGTTGATGCATTCCCAAGGCAATCTTGGATATTGGGCTGGTTTCCTCTTCCGCGTACGCACTACATGTAGCTAGCTAGCTAGCTACTAGTAAATGCCCCTGGCTTCTTGGTTGATCTCTGGCACCAGTTGGTGTCAGAACAGGCAATAGTGCATAAAGGTTTAAATCTGGCTGAGGTAAAGCGAAACTGGCAAGCTAAAGGAGCTGCTAAAGGTTTGTTCCCCTTCTGCAGCATTCCTGAAACGCTTGGTTCTCGATTGGGGGATGCCAAAGACTGAAAGAGAAGCTAAGAAGGCATGCTGGAATGGTTGCTGCGGTTGCTGCGACATCCCCAAGCTCATCGCTATTGCCGAAAGGTTGCTTCGGTCGGTACCGTCACGCAACTCGTCCCGCTAAGTTGAGAGAAAGCGCAATATTTTTATATTTTTAGAAATATTAGGTGGACTCGAGATGCCAAAGGAAACACTCCATTAATTGACCAGCAAGCAGTAGACCATGAGTCCGCTGAAGCGAATTATCAAAGTCATCCAGAAAGCAATACAATATTGGATGACAATCAATGACGTGGTCGTGCTCAGTTAAAACCCACTTACTCTGGCAATAGTTTTGTTCATCGACTCAAAGTCGAAAGTCATAAGGGGCAGTTTATTTGGTCTCCCAGACCACGCTCCTTTTGGTTACCCCCTCAGTTGCACTCTGGAATCGATTTGCCGGCGTTTACTGTGTAAAATAGAGTAGCGGCACTTCAGTTGCAGAATCAACGGTCATGTGTATCTTTAAGTAACAGGTTCTCTTTCGAAACATTTAGATCGATTCGTGGATAGAAAGAACCGTTGAAGGTTTTAAGGTTAAGGTTAAACTACAGCAATTCAATCGCATGTGCACGTACTGGTACTGTACCGGTACAGGTCCAGCCAAATCCATTGTTGAAGGTGCAGCACTGACTTCTCTCGCTCATTGAATTGCTATGGCAAACTGGAGAGAAATCCAAGCTTGGCCGACAAGAATGGTGTTGGAACGATCAATCGAATGGATCGCAATGAGGTAAGCCTATTATCAAGAGTGTTAATTGAAGATACAGCGCTGACTTCTCTCCCTCATTCAATTCCTATGGTAAACAGGAGAGAATTCCGAGCTCGGCCGTCAACAGGTGAGTTGTTTTAATTATTCGAATCGAATCGCTCGCACCTCTATTATCTCTACTATCAAGCCTCACTCAAGCCGGCTGCTCTGGTCAGAAGCGAAAGCCATCCTCATTGAATCATATGGACCGCGGGATGGCAGTCAGTTCTCGGCCATGACGGCCAAGTTGGGCAATTTGAAAAGCAAGGGTAAGTCGCTGGTTTTCTTCAGTTCAGCACAGAAAACAAAACTCATATCTATTTGTTGTTTTCTCTGCTGCACTGCTGACGGCCGATGAATACCATTGTCTGAGTCCATTTCGATCGATCGATCGCTCCGGATAGCAAGAAGATGAGAGGCTACGCTACGGAGAGGAGGCCTGTTAACTCCAGCCCACCAACAGCCTGAACAGAGGAGCCTATCGTCGTCGAGTCTTGAAAGGCAACAGCCACCGGAGAGGCAACAACACACAAGAGAGTGGATCTCCTACCGGATTCATCCTTTCTTGTTATTTCCTACTGTTTTGGTGGTGATTCCTGTGTCGGTACCCATTTTCCTGTATGCAAGTCAAGTACTGTTGCCACTAGCTATACGGCAGCTGGCTACAATCGCTGGATTGACAATATTCGGTTGTGCATGTATTCGTCATAAGGATCCAATGCGAGGTAACCGAGCGCAGCGAGCAAAGTCGAACCTGAGTGTGTTCGGTACTGTTGCCACTGTCACCGATCGATGAACTCTACGATAGCTGGCTACGATGGCTGGATTGACAATGTTCGGTTGTGCATGTATTCGTCATAAGGATCCAATGCGAGGTAACCGAGGAGCGGAGCAAAGTCGACCTGAGTGTGTTCGGTACTGTTGCCACTGTCACCGATCGATGAACTCTACGATAGCTGGCTACGATGGCTGGATGACAATGTTCGGTTGTGCATGTATCGTCATAAGGATCCAATCAAGGTACCGTATGTATTCGTCATAAGGATCCAATGCAAGGTACCGGTAACCGTAGCGAGCAAGGCCGAACTTTCGGTACTGTTGCCACTGTCGTCGATGTAGCTATACCGCAGCCGGCTACAATGAGTGGATTCATAATGTTCGGTTGTGCATGTATTCGTCACAAGGATCCAATGCAAGATACCGGCAGCGGAGTGTAGCCAGCAAAGCGGAACCTGAGTGTGTTCGGTACTGTTGACACTGTTGCCGATGTAACTGTACGGTAGCCGGCTACCATGGCTGGATTAACAATATTCGGTTTTGTGCATGTATTCGTCATAAGGATCCAATGCGAGGTAACCGAGTGTAGCCAGTAAAGCGGAACCTGAGTGTGTTCGGTACTGTTGCCACTGTCACGGATTGATGTAACTCTCTGCCTACGGTACCGTAGAGCTGGCCACAATGGCTGGATTGCATGTATTCGTCATATGGATCCAAGTAGCCAGCAAACTGAGGAAACAGGAGACCAACGCTGAAAAAAGCCGAATTTTTAAGATGCGAGCTGGGTTCGCTAACCAGTCACTAGGGTTCTGGTTATTGGTTAATGGTTGATCAACCAGTCAAACTAGGGTACTGGTTATTGGTTAATGGTTGATCAACCAGTCAAACTAGGGTACTGGTTAATGGTTATTGGTTGATCAACCACTGGTTATAGGTTATTTATAGGTTGATTAACCAATAACCACTGGTTGAACCAGTGGTTATTATCTAGGCCCCAACATGTAGTGCAAGACTTGTGTGTAGTTTGCTTCCACCCCATGCAGTTGCCCAGGTTGCCATAGCCCCAATCAAGTTCATGTAGGTCCCAACATGCAGTGCAAGACTTGTGTGTAGTTTGCTTCCACCCCATGCAGTTCCCTGTGCACACCCTAGGATGCCGCAGCCCTTTTCTCTCATCTTCCTCAGCCTTCTCCTCTTCCTTAGAGTAAAACTCAAGTTCTTCCATCATTTCAGTAGTGATGTCCTCCACAAGCTCCTCATTAACGACAAACAGCCTGGACAGTAGCTACCTTGCTTGGACAGTAACTACCTTGCTCGAAGGACAAAACACAGTCTGGACGGTTGCTATCTTGAAGGCAAATACCTAGACAACCAGTCGAATCAACCAGTTGAATCAACCAATAATCGGTAGAATCAACCACTCGAATCAACCAATAACCAGTAAAATCAACCAGTAAAATCAACCAGTAACCAGTCAAATCAACCAGTCGAAAACGTACTGGTTACTGGTTATCGGTTGATCAACCAATAACCAGTGGTATTGACTGGTTAGTGGTTTTGGTTGATTCGACTGGTTATTAACCAGTCAACCAGTAACCAAAACCAATAACCAAAATTACTGGTTAGCGAACCCTGCCATGCGAGCTCAGTCTGTAAAAGATGTGTAACTGTTGAAAGCTTTTTGGAGTTGGAGCTTTGTAGCAAATGTCATAGCTACGATGACCGCGGCTTGATACAAAGCCAAGACTCGGTCACATACGGTACCGTACTACAGCTGCCTTGTTGCGTTGTAGGAATTGCCATCATTCCTTTCCTTGCAACTTCCAATTCCGCAGCAAGAGGAAACATTGGTCCTCCGAATCCAGTACTAGCTAGCTAGTAGCGTCCTCCCCACTAGATCATGGCTGAAAATAAATAATTAAGTTGCCCAAATGGCCCACACTTCGTGCTAACCATTGCGAAGTGGCCTTGCGCACGACCGTCGAAAACGAGAAGCAGCGTTGAAGAGAACATCTCTCGTTTACATCCCAAGCAACTTGATTGCTTCGTTGACAAACCATGCAGTTTGCTTGCTTGGAAGCAAACGAGAACACTGCCCACTGCCCCTCTCCAGAGACCCACATCCAGACTTCTTTTCCTCTTGTTTGGGGGTGCATAGGATGCGAAAAGGTTGGTTGTTGTTGAATGGGGTTCAGTCATCGATTAGTCCATAGTGGTTGTCGGACTAACTTCATGGATTAAATTAGCTGAAAGGGGTATACGTACGGAGTTCTGATGTTCTGTATGAAATTGCATTACTCTCTAGCGGTGGGGTTTTTGATTGGTGGATTTTGATTCGGATTCAACTTCAAGTGTCAAGGTCTTGGTTCGGGTCATGCTTACGTGGGGTACCGAAGACTTAAGGGGATCGTGCTACTTGATCGTGAAGCGTGATGTTGTGGATGCACGCTTACGTTAGTCACTAGTCGGGATTCGATTTGTCATACGTGGATGCCTTGGTTTTAAGAAACTTGATAAGATGGTTGACCTTGGAAATAAGATTAAGATGTTATTCGTAGTCACTAGTCGGGATTCGATTTGTCATTAGGTTAGGGGTTACTCCACAGTTACGGATGAGGGGGATAGGGTTATCCCGAGGCGATCTACTAGTCTAGATCTGATGTTCCTTAGTTCTTGGTGTGGAGTAAATCACAGTTTGTCATGGCTATTAGCATGCTACTTTGGATTGATGGGGGTTGGTCTAGATCCATGTTAGTGTCATCTTGATGTTGAACGGCGTACATTGGGAACCAAGTGGGCACGTTACTTCTCATCTTCTGGATTAGACAACAAAGGATTAGGGAACCATGTGCATGGTTGTAACTGATAAACCTTCAGTTACAAACTTCCGTTTCATGAACTCCATCATGGTGATGTAATCTGGTAGGCTGATAATGTTGGAGTGACTATCCACATTTTTTTACGATGGGTGGTGTTATGAAGATTGAAGATTTTGCTTTTGAGATTAAGGAGGAGGGCAAGGGGGACAATGGCGGAGCTGCCAGTGAGCTCCCGTCAGCTCCTGCTTCTAAGGTGGTTGAGGATGCGCCAAGTCTTCCATCTGCTCCTACTCCTAAGGTGGTTGAGGATGCCCAAGTCTTAGTACTGCTAGCGTTCCTATGAGATGTAGAGGAGATGCAGGCGTATATGCAGAACTACTATGGACTCCTGTTGCTTTAAGACTTAAGGGTTCTATCACTGTAGTATGTCCTTACTGCGATGAGACACATAGACATGTTGATCCTGGTCATCACGTTGCTGAGTGTGATGAGCGTATACGATCTAACGTGGGGCTTAATATCAAGAGCCGGTCTTTCAACCCTAATTATAGGTATACTGTCATTGAATACTGGAACGGGCGGAGTTAATGTTGTCTTGGACTAAAAGGGTAGTGTTAATAAAGTGGTTGTTCTTGATTCTCGGAGTTTCTTGCGTTCATCGGGGTCTAGGTCGTAAACATCTTGTAGAGAGAAGGACATTCGGTTGTCACTGTTTTTCGGGGTTCTGTGGATTTAGGAGGGGCAGGGGGCATCGTTTGGAGTATTATGTGACATTGGTTATTTGACAGCTTTCTGAAGATCGTTCTCTTGAGGGTCTTGTGGTGGGAGGGTTGCTCTGCGTTTCAATCGCCAGGTTTCTACACAGGGATTGGGGTTGGGGTGTGGTCGGGTGGGAAGGGGTTTGAATGGGGTGGTTCCAAAATGTGATTGGCTTTCGATATTAGAGAAGCTTCCGGGGGTTTGGAAATGAACATATAGGGAACTGTCATATGTATCACTTTGAAGCGGCGTTTGATTGCTGCTGCCATTACGGGATCGTCCTTCCATAGACTATCGATGGAGTAGTTGCTTGTTATGATGAAGGTTGTGTGGGAGAGTTTCACCATACCGCCTTTAATTTCACCTGTGCAGGCGTACTTGTCAGCCCAAATCTTCAAATAATGGCCTAGAAAGTTTCCGTCCATATCGTCTAAGAGGACGTGTGATTCACTGGCATATCCATCCCACCATTTGCTTTGGGGTTTAATGTATAGTGATTCAGGACATAGACTGCGGGCTGTATGGGATTTACCTGTACCAGGAGTCCCCAGTAGTACACTCCACGGACTGTTTCATGTTCATAGGGTTTAGTGTTCAAGGCTTGGAGGTTTGCCAGACCTCGGTAATTACGGACATATGACGCTGGGTGAATCTTAGATACTTCTAACAAGGATTTGCCTTCTTCAACTGCTTCGCACAGAAGGTCTAGGTCGACACGTTTTCCCGGTGAGGGGATACTACCAAATTCTTCTCCTTTGAAGTTAAGGCCGTGGTTGGGGCCAGAGTCTTTAAGTGAGTTCCATTCTTCTTTGGTTTGTTGGCCTTTCTTACAATAGGTGGCGGCTTGGAAAGACGTGCCCGAAGCAACCAAAAGAGCAATGGACTTGGTTCCTAGAGCTTTATGAACAGCTGGCATGGACAGCTTTGTCTTCAACGTGAAGAATCCTTGGAGGTGGGGGGTGCCTTGTTCTCCTACTTCTTTGCCGTATACTAGGTATTTGCAATAATTTGCATAGAAGTCCCTTAAAAGCTCAATGTCATTGTCAGTGTAATTGTTCAATGTAAAGCAGTATCGGGTTGATTGTTTTGTCATCTTGAAGAGAGAAAAATAGAACTAGAACAGGTAGCGGTGGAGGTTTATTTGTCAGAATTTACGCGTGCCCGTACACGGGGCCGTTCACTGCTGGCTGGCTACAACTACTGCTAGCTGGCTACAACTACTGCTGGCTGGCCACAACTACTGCTACGTTAGCTATTGCTGGCTGGCTACAACTACTGCTACGTTAGCTACTGCTGGCTGGCTACAACTACTGCTGGCTGGCTACAACTACTGCTACGTTAGCTACTGCTGGCTGCTACAACTACAGCTGGCTGGCTACAACTACTGCTACGTTACTACTGCTGCTGGCTACAATACTGCTGGCTGGCTACAACTACTGCTACGTTGGCTACAACTACTGCTACTGCTGCTAGTTAATTGCTAGGTTTAAATATAAAAAAATAGCTACAACTACTGCTACTGCTACTGCTAGGTTGATTCAATAAAAATATTTAAAAAGAGCTAAAAAAAACTTAGGACTAAAAAAGAAAAAGGATTGAAAAAAGGACTGAGTTTGAGGAGCCCGCTCAAGCGCCGCGGAGGCTCAATCTGGGAGAGAGAGAATAGAAATAGAACAGGTTGGGCAGGTAATATAGGCTGCCAACTTGTTCTACTTTTTACACGGACTGACAAGGGGGACCCAGGATGCAATCGGGTAGAATTCCATTGCGTCAACGAGCGTTGTTGAGGGTTCCTCAAAAACTACAACAAATTCTTTACCATTGATTTGTTGGCATGTAGATATCTCAACGTCGAAGTCTTTCATGACTTTCTTGAACGCGGCTACATGCCCATGGTCGAGTTTAACGCGAAAGGAGGGTGTGCACGGCATGTTTGTTTTTTTGATAATTTTTTTTGGTGGGCTTGGTTTGTGAGTGGTGGTAGACGTGTTTGCCGATTCAATGGGTATTTCACACCGACTAAACAGGAATAACGCGGGCCATGCAGATTCGGAGGTTCCTGGGGCTTCCTAGCGGATTCGACGGATGTTTCACCGAGAGGGGGTACGAGGTGCTACTTAATCGGCCGTAGTAGGCTTGTTTGGTGTCGGGGGGAAGCTGACACGAGCCTAACTCTAAATCTTCGGTTCCTTTAGATGACGTAGGGAACCTTCAATTATAGTTTGGCCCGTCTCAGCTGTTCCTATACTAAAAGAGTAGGGGGGCCATGGGTCCGAGGTGAGGTAATAATGTTTTCGACTCACCTCTGCGACCTCTGACCCTTTTTTTGGTTCCGAGTTTTTCGGGGGAAGTTTAAGTCCGATGTTGGGAACTCAAGATAACGAGTGGTTGGGATGGAGGGTGAATAAGCCGGCTTGTCTAGTGCTTTGCGCGCGACGATCAGTGCTTTGCGCGCGACGATAACACAGTAGCACACTCCGAAACATCGGGACCCGAAAACAAAAAATTGTCCCGACAGATACATCGCTATTTAACGGTCGTTTCTTGCTCTTTAACGGTCATTGTCAGACCACTGACGCATGTCATCACTGGGTTGTAACTTTTCGCCGACGGGATGTGTTAACCGGTGAAATGAAAACTGAAACGTTTCGTCCAATTGTTTTTGGCAAAACCTGTGTGGTGGTGAAACCGTTTGACCGCAATCTCATCATCAGGACGAGATCGCACACGAGAGCACGTGCACGTACCGCATTTTGTTTCGCTACATCTCTCATCCACAAGAGTCCCTCCTCTCGTTGTTCAAACAGCCGCTGACTGTTGGAAGTCACCATGTCATCAATCGCTGCTCTCAAGGCACAGATAGAGGCCTTGGAGCTTCAAGTCCTCAAGGAGAGCGAAGAGAAACAAGTGTTGCAGACCCAGCTCACTATTGAACAGGCTGAGAAGAAGGAGCGAGTTCTTTTGGCTCGCGGGGAATATTTCACACAGCTACGGGATGTTCTTGGCACAGAGCGAGTTGATTTCACTGGTGGATTCCGTGCTATTTGCAGTCGTGTGCATGGTGGGGGTGCTAGGCGCTGGCGTGAAAAGAGACTTCCAGAGTACACAACTCTTGAATTGGAGCTGTTGGCAAAAGTTGCAGACGTGAATGTAACTGCTGATAACTTCTCGTATACGTCGAAGTCCGCTTCGGATAGGGAAAGCATCGCGGAGAAGGGAGGCCATAGCAAACTGAGCAAAGAAGAAAAGGACGTGATTCAGAACAAAAGGAAAAACAAGCTTCTCAGAGCACAGAGCAGCAGCGGGTTGAGTCGTTCCAGTAAATCTGGAAGCGAGGCTGCTACGGACCCAGGCGTCAAAATGATTGATATCGGAACCGTAACAAATGCAGCTCACCTCCTTGCTGGAAATAACTCTTGTTCGCCTACTATGGGAATATTTGTCCAGGCAATAATCGGTTGTGACCTTGAAGCAAAAACAAACGAGCAAATTAGGGCCGCTGCAGTTTTGGTTGCCAGGGGTGGTGACACTAGAAGACTTGGAGATCTTGTGGCTAAGCAGAAAAAGGTTTTACAAAACCTGGCCTACCATCAGCGACACTACAAAGGATTTTGTAATATTGCGAATAACTTAATCCAGGTACCAAAAGGAGGCCATGAAAAATTCTTCGATATCGACTGCGACTGGGTCATCGCGCCTATTATGCCTTTTTCTGACATTATCGGCTGGAATCCTGAAACAGTTCAGTGGAGACCTCCGGAAGAGAGAGGGTACTGGGTCATGTTCATCGCAGGGACCTTTACAAAGATTGACACCGGGGCTTACATTAACTTTTTAAATGCAAGCACAAGTGAAAAGGAGGGTGAGCAAGTTTACACTCCAGGAGAGCGAGAACGGTGTAGCAGACCCGACGTCGAACAGGGGATTGCAAACCTCTCCGCCTTCATCAAAGCTTTTGCGGATTTAGCGACAGGCCGGAAAGCAAACCGGGAAGACGCTGCGAAGTTGACCCCTTTCGACCTGATCGACGACAATGCGCGGCCCCCTAATCTGGATCAAGTGACGGCCGCGCGGGACAAGTTAGCGATGGACTGGCTGGTCACCGTTCCCACTCTAAAGGCGTTCGACCAAGAAAAGACGCAAGTCTTGAAGGTTTTTCTTCGCCATGAGAATCCGCATCTCTTACCCGAACCAATGGCAGTTGCAGGCAAGGGAGCACTCAATTTTATGGAAATGATCGGAGAAAAACCTGTGCCGGCTTGCGGTGAATCGAGCATTGTGGAGTATAGCGAGTCGAGCGCAGACCAGGAGAGCGATGCATCATCCATTGATCAGATTTCGATTCAAACGCCTTCTAAGCAAACCGGTATCCCTGATTGCATTACGATCGTGACACCGTCGCCGAACCAAAGGAAAGGCGACGAAAGGGTGCAATCAACTGAGCTTTCAATGGGGTATTGAATGCTTTGCTAGTCGGACAAGCTTGTAGCGGTAAATTTATCAACAAGTGCTGTATGGTACCTAAGCTAGCTAGCGAAACCTAAACCATAAACTCAGTGTGACAAATGGCGTGGCAAGAACACTTTCAGATACTGGTTGGCTAGCTGCTCGAGGGATGTTGCTCTAGGAAGAGGAGTCCGAAATCCACTCTGTTCAGGCCAGGAGTTGTCGAAGCAAGGGATAATCCAACAGAGATTGCTGCCGAAGTCATCGGATTGAAGTTCCACTTAGTGGTGAGTCATTATCGTGACACACTGCTTCAGCTCGGAATTAAAGGGTGCTGTCACGGATGAGGCTTTTAAAAACGGGTGGGCGTGCGTAACGGTTCCATGCGGGGGCCGGCGACAATGTCCAGATTTGTCCGCCAATTGTCCCGATATCTCCGGGAGTGCTTTGCGCGCGACGATAACACAGAGTATCAACAAAGCCAAAAAGAAAAATAAGGACACCGGAGGTGTAATAGATATACCGGGCGAGCTGAACTAAAAGGCGAAGAAGTGAAATTATTGTAAAGATTAGGCGAATTCGCGACTGAATGCAAGGGCACGCGAGGGGTCCCAGAAGACCCCTTGGTTAGCAGCAGAACGGGTAGAACGGGAAGGTTTGGAGGGGGGCAAAAACCCGTGATTGAAGGCGGACGCATTTCTGTCGGGTACCAATTGTGTGAGATAGTCATATGCAGCAGATGGACTGAAAGGGGATCCAAGAGACCGGTGACAGAGTAGCCGTATATGCCGCTTGTCCTTTACGCGAGACATAGCAACAAAGACAGCTGCGAACTCAAGCTGAGAGTAATGCGTGGGATGGTTAGTAAGGTCAAGCACAACACGGTGGAGAGTTCTCCCTTGAGCTTTATGCACAGTAAAGCTGAAAGCAAGATCGAAAGCAAACGGAGGCCGAATCTCAGCAGTACCGATTGATGTGAATGGATTGCCAGTTTCGTATGTGAATCGGGAGTAATCGGAACGCTTAGAAGAAGCAATAGAGGGTGTCAGTGGAATGACAATATTGTCATTGGTGGAAGAATTAGTAGGAAGAAGACTGAATGACTTGAGCCGATCAAGCTGCTGTTGCCGTTTGGTAGAGATTGGTTTCGAGTCAAGAGATGGATTGATTAGCATATTGACGGATAGAGGCTCTTGAATGGTAATTTCGGAGCCATAAGGAGGTGGATGAGGTCCGAGAAGGAGGTCTTGAACACGTGAGAATTCTTCTTGATTGGAAAAAGTAAGAGAGTGAGCCGTAACTGGAGACCCATTGACAAGAGCAAGGTCACAGTTAATGTTATGGGAAAGATGACATGGAGCATGAGGAACCCAATATTGCCAAAAGAATGAATTGCTCTCACGAATAGAGGCCATTTGAGAGGAAGGTGGGCGATTGACTTCTTTGCGAACACGGCATTTCCATTTGAAAACAAATGTTTGATGATGTTTTGCCCAGAGAGACGCTTTGTGACGAGAAATGTTGAGTCGTTCCATGTTTGTGGCAACAAGAACAGGACAAAACAGCCATTCGTGAGGGTTTTTACGAATATCGTCTCTGGAGAGGTGATCGTATTGAAGAATATCGCCAAGAAGAATTTTATTCCCGGTAGAAAGTTTCTGAACAAAATCTTTGTGCTGATCGTCGTTAGAAGCGCGCTGCTGTGTGGTTAAATGGAAACGTTCGAATTGTGCGAACAAAGAGCAGCCGTGAAATGGTAGAGAACCGGGATGGAACCGGTTGGCCTGATCTTTGGTTTTTTTGTTGGCGCTGCTGTTGTTTGCGGCACGCTGCGACATGAATTTTCGAAGGAGCTGCTGCTGACGCCTCAAACTGGGAACCTTGAGAGACGTTTGTGTTGCTGTGGAAGGGATGGAGTTCTTGTTGTGGTCTGTTGTAGAGCGATGGGTTCGAGCAGCCCATGTAAGCATGTCTTTGCAGAGTGGTGTTTTTTGAACTGGGCCTAATTGCTGGAAGGATAATTACAAGGAGTGAAATGTAAGTAAGAGAGTGATGGGGAGAGTAAAATGATGCAGTTTAGATGGCGCTGGACCAGCAATCGATTTACCTGGAAGTCACCCACACAGATTATGGGTAGTCCGCCAAAGGGAATGTCAGAGTTATCAAGAATCTGGCGCAATCTTAAGTCTAGAAGAGCTATGATTCGGGAGTCGATAGTGGAGATCTCGTCCAGAATTAGGCAGCAAAGGTTATCCGAGCGAAGCTTCAGACGTAGCTGAGCAATAGAATCGTCTGAGAGAGTCTTAGCCTTGATTGAATCACTGGTATCGTGAATGGCAAACATACTACAGATGGTGGAGCCATCAATATTGACAGCTGCTATGCCCGTATAGCTTGTTGTAGCAACGGTTCCAAGTTGAAGTATGTTGCATATCTCGACAAGAGTTTCAATGACGTAGGACTTGCCGGTGCCAGGATCTCCTGTGAGGAGAAACATAGGGGGTTTTGTTTGTTTGAGACTGTACATGGTTTGCAGGAAGTCAGTATCGGGCCAGTTGTCGCGATGAGCTTTAAGTTTGAAAAAGTAATCAGTTGCCGAGTCCACAATGCGTTTTTGACTATCAGAGAGCAAACGCATATCAATGTAGCGTTTCACCTCGGATGTCAGAGAGAGAAAGGTACCATTGCGTGCCCTTTTTCGAGAGGAACGGCGGTGAGAGATATTGGAATGAATGGATCGTTCGGGTTCATCGAGAGAAGAAGTCTGCAAAGCAGCCACAGTTTCCATGATTTTTAGTCCATTGTTGGATTCGAACTTGAGAATGTGATCATGATTGACGGGCGAACCAATGTTGGGGTCGTTAGTGTTATATGTGGATGCATCATGTTGAGTGATGGTATTGTGACATGTATTGGTACCAATACTAGAGGGGAAAAGGTATTTGACACTTGTCATTTGATGTTTGCAGAAGTCACGGTCTTGTTGATAGGAACGTATTTTAGATGTGGAGAAAGCCTCTGTGCTGAGGCGGCCATTGATTATGTCATCAGTGTCAGTGTCATCGAGGAATGCACGATTGCGGGCGCCAACGGCAGCGAACAATTTCTCAGCCTCATGACGCTCTTGGTCGGACCAAACAGTTGTATTGCGGTGCCGAAAATTTGAGAAGAGCACACGCTGCTTGTAGTTAGACCGAAACCCGTATGAAAATGTGAACATGGCATCAAGGCGGAGTCGATCAATAAGACGATTGTTGATCTCCATATCTTGAATTTTGGCGCAGAATGATTCCCATGTGGGAGCACTGTGGGCGGAGGCAGGCATGTCACCATAGATATCTTCATGTGGAAGAAAGGTAATGTCGTACCATGAGGCAAAAGCATCGGCGGCCTTCCGCCAGATAGCGTAATCCTCAAGGAATGTTTCGCACTCGAATGGCGATGCGTCAGCATCAGGAGGCGAAGGCGGCTCCCCAGGAAATTTTGGAGGATGAGCATTGTAGATAAGTGTATGCTGCTTAGCACGAAGTAATTGGACATGAGAGTGATAGAGAGGATGATGAGGGTGGAATCGAAATGGCTTGCGTTGTTTCCGTCCCCGCTTAGTAGAAAGAACAGTATTGGAGTCATCAGATTTGAAGTCATTCATAACAGTATGGGTAGCGGAGTCGTTGTCACTGTCACTGTCCACATCATCATTTAGGGTTCTGTGAGAGATCTTCTCCGATGAAATAGGGCGAATATCAACCAAAGCGTAATACTCTGAATTTGTCAAGTGCTTGAGACCATTGCCACGGAAATACCAGTGCAGTGGATATTGGACAGGTAGTCTGTGTGTGGAATTGGAGGTCCTAGTACTGTTTTCGTCGGACGAATTATCCGGAGGGTCATGATCACCCACTGTATAGAAGGGTGCGGGACCAAACGATTTATTGGTGCACTGGGACATGGCATGTAGAGCAACTTGGACATCCATTGTATGTGAATCGCTGTATCCTTGCGTATGTGTAAATTGGAAGGAACATTCATCTTCGGTTGAGAATCCAGATTCAGTTGTGTGGGTAGAGGCATCATCTGGAGGGATGTGTGAGTTGGCTGCTGTAGCCTCAGGGGGCAAGAGATTCTCACAGTGAGCACCGTGGTCGGTTGTAGCATTATTCGTAGTCGGTGATGATGACTCGTTTGTAGTAGGTTTAGCTGGTGACAGAATGGGAGGATGCTGGTGAAGAAAGTAGTTAACCGAATAGTCTGCACCAAAAAAACGGAAAGAGTCGGAAGTTAGCTCGGTTCCCATATTGAGAAGAGAAAGAGCTACTTGAGTGTCGCTAACTTGAATGCTCCTGCTGAGATCATTCAAGACACGAGTGAACATATGTTGAATTGATCGACGGTCGGTTCCCGAATCATCAGCAGAGCTTGGGAACTGCTCGATGTGCCGCTGTGCAGCCTCCAGAGCAACAAGACATGCTTCCAGTGCGACCTTGTTCTTGCAGACATATGGAACAACATAAAATAGTGCACCTGCTGACATTTGTGTGGAGCCTAGCAGAATGGCATTTGTACTGCCCCCAGTTGAATTGCAAAGTGTGACATTAGTTTCGGTAACAAAGCCATTCCTGCCAGAAATTTCGCTGCTGAGTTTGTCAAAGAGGAAAATAATGGTGGTAGCATCAAGAGTTTCAAGCCATTTCTGTATGCTTGGAACATCGATCTGCGAATGCTCATTGTTGGAAGGCTCACCATTACCAATGATGATTGTAGCCTTTAACGGTGAATGGGGCTCTTCTAGTGCTTCTAACAAAGCCTTGATACAGAACGCTCTGCCATCATTGAGAAGACAATTGTCGTTAATCGGGTCTCCTTCAGCGTTAGACAAAGGAGGAGTCTCATGGGGGGGGTTGGAAGAGGTGGTTGAACGGACGTAGGCTTCACGAATGTCATCCGGAAGGTTGGGCATAGCATACAACTTTTGCCGTTGTAGTTCCCAAACAACGAGAGCATCATCCAGAGGTGGAATTGGATGAACGGTGTAATCTCTCTGCATGTGATCATTCTGTACAGGAATTGGGGATTGTGAAATTGTTGGAACGATGTCCTTCAATGCCGTGTTATTAGCAGGCGAGAATGTCGAACATTGTTCAATGTCGGTGGGCACTTCGAGCAGTTTGGGAAGTGTGGCAGAGGAATCGCCGGATCCCTTTGCGTTCCTGCATCGATATTTGCCAGAGGGTGGCTTTCTGCAGCTCCAACCATGCTCGTGGATGCCATTGCGTAGAGTAGCCTCCCACATGAATTTTTTCCAATCGTCTGTAGATTTTGGAGATGGAACATGCTTCATGGATGTGTAGCGCTTTGCATACGGAGGAAGGCAGTCGCGACCACTCTGAGACTTTTTCATGGCACGGACAATAATATCCTTAGCGTGGATGTGCCGGGGTAGTTCGGCCGTGTACATAGAATCCAATGCAAGTTGAATCTGTTTACAGATATCGGGTAAACCAGCCGATTTCTCCAACAGCTTTGGAGATATGGATCCCCACAGAATAACGTGAAAATGGAGGGCCCCCCTGCTTTGTGTCTCTACCGTCCCAAAAAAAGCGACGACATGGCCAAAAATTCCTCGGTGATAAGGACAATTTGCAGCTTCTGATTTGAAGTACCAAGTGCGCCGCTGGCCTGACCGAGTTCCAGGCTCAAAATTGAGGGGACACCCTATCAAAATAGACATCACATTCTCGAGAAGAGTGCGAAACTCGAGGGCAACAGCAACAGGATTGTCGGTCGCTTTTTTCATACGGCTGGAGTAGTTAAGGGGCACATCGACATTCCCATTTGTTCTGAGAGTGCCGTTCTTTTGGAGGGACTCAAAGAAATCCTCATCAACAACAGCAGGAAAGGAAAAGTTATTGGATGAACGACATGCCCAACGGAAGGAGGTGGGATTATTGATGTCGTCAGGTGTCACTGTAACCATATTCGCGACTGGACCGTACCGTTTAGCCATTGCCATGGCTCTGGAAAGAGATGAGGTGTCACCCAATGCGCCGGCCATAATCGTATTTCTACCACCAAGGCTCAAGACAGGAAGAACCGTTCGAAGCACTTGTTTTGCTTCGGGCGAGGAAGGATTTTCAGCAGCTTGCAGGATTTTCTGCTGGAACTCCTCGTCCCTCAATAATGTGGCATACTGCTCAAAGGCTGCAGGATCCTTGCGTATTTTGGCGGCAAAATTACGCATTATTGTGTGCCGAATGTGACAATCAAAAAGGTAGAACAGAAAATCACGGTTTGTAGCAGCAGCTTGGGTATACTGTTTCAGTAGGTGCTCTATTTGAATGGACGTGAGCAAACCACCCTCTTGGGAGTATCCATTTCCAAGAAGAAAGATTTGAGGAAATGATGATGTCAGTAGCTCCAGCATGTCAGAGAACTCATTAACGGGAGTTTCATCACGATACGACTTCCATGTTGATAAATCCTCACCACCGTTTACAGAAGTGGTGTCCGCATCAGTAGTACAATCAGATTGGGATGCAGATGGAGGGTTGTATTCAATGTTGAATGCATCAGCAATGGCTTCAATCTGAGTTGAAAGTGTATTATTCGAATTTGAATGAACTTGGTTTTCTTCCTGCTTGCCTGGAGCTGTATGTTGCTCAAGGGCAATAACATCGGGGTGCTGAGCAACATATGTATAAGCCACAGGAATAGAACATGCTCCTGTTTTGTGTTCGTCACGATCAGGGTTCCCATCATCGGACCTTTCAAGTTGCACATCCGAATCTGTGAGTATTTTAGTCCGAATCCCGGCAACATCATCGGCATAAATCTGTTCTGCGGCAAGAGCCCGCTCTGTAGTAACTGGAATGCCGGCTTCCATGAGTGCCCTGTTGCAATACGCAATTGTCTTCTTCATATCTCCGAATTCGTGAAGTGGGGGAAGGGGTGGGTCATACTTATACAATGGATGGCAGGAGCGAAGCACTGTCAACCACTGGTACAGTACGAATGGGCGGAGCTGAAGGAATGTCTGCATCCGTGCTTTTCTGGCCAGTTTTTCTATACTTCCTGCGGGGCCAACCAACTCAATGGTCACAAGTTCTTGAAGAAATGTAGTGATGTTTGCCCCAGTTTTCTCTGGATCGAAACTTTTGCCGTCACCAAACATGAGTGCAAGAGACGCGGTTACAGGACTATCGTGACGAAAAAGAATGGAATGACCTCTGATTTCGTTTTTTGTGAGATCAGAACGGCCACCCACAGCATGATTGTCTTGAACCTTGACAACATTATGAAAGTGGCGCATTCGAGCAATGACCAGAGACTCAAGTAGATCAGGTTTCGCGAGGCCAATGCGATTGATATCCCCAAAATCCACGCCAGCTGCGATAGAATGAACAGGTGGTAGGGAGGGCGTGGCAGCACAGCGCGTGCGGTGATCGTTGAGCCAGGCTGTGCAAGATGAACAAAAAATGACGGTCTCATGCTGCTCTGTTTTGTCTCCATCTTTGGAGGGCCGTGTTTGAAAGGTAACAAATTCGGGATGGAGATGAAATGTTGAAGCAAGAGAAGGGGAGGTATACGCGCTCTGCAAGCGATGTGGGTAAAATAATTTAGTGCTGCCTTCGTCATCGGTCGGAAGTAGAACTGGAGGCTCTTTGGCAGAACGTTCATATCGTTTCAGCTGCTCTTCGGTGAAGGCAACAGGTGTATCAACGAGATCTGCGAGATCAACTGTCGAACAAACCTTCCCGTATTGCCCATTCACAGATTTGATACCGCATGACCCACAAACAAAGTGATGCGCATCAACGGATTGTCCAATTCCAGGAAAATTTGCAAGTTCCGATTCAGCATTACTACCGTTGGGTTTGCAAGAAGCCCTGCCTTGATGAAGGAGAAATTTCTCAACAATGTCTTCCTGCTCCTGTTCAGTTAGCATTTCGTCTGCTATCTCAGCTTTCAACTTATCCATCATTTCACGGAGCTCCAATGGGGTTTCAACTGGTTGGAAGCCTTGATTTCTTGAGAGGTATGCCAGAATGTCATCAATGGTACGGAACTTTTGATGTCCAGAATTCAAATGATACAGAAGAGCCGATGTCTCAGGATTCATTTCAAAGTCGTGAAAGGCATAGGCATTGCCATTGATGGTGTCGCAGTTGTGGGGGGTATCAAACGTCAGTCTGGATCGATCAATTTCATACTGCCTGGTTTGCTTTTGTTCTTTGTGCGCACGCCTTCTCTTAGAAAGCTGTGCACAATGCTGCTCATGTTCGTCCGCCAAATTCCTCTTTGCACGCCTTGCTGCAAGTTTAGTGGCATGATCCTCTGGTGATTGCTGTTTGTTGAGGTGATATGTGGCACGCCTGCGTGCAAGGCGAGCTTCACGGTGCTCAGGCGATTCTTCTTTCCTTTGTTGTGTCTTCTTTAGCTGATATTGCTCACGTCTCTTGGCAAGGCGAGCTGCACGCTTCTCTGGTGATTCGCTCTGCAGTTTAGTACGATATCTTTCTCGTCGGCTGGCTAACAATTGCTGTTTTTGAACATCATCAACATTGGTTGTGTTATGCTGATTCTTTATGACTGTTTCTTCATCTGGCTCTGGGAGAGCCGCCTGTGTTGGAATCCCTCCATTGTTCTGTTCCATGTTGTTGAGGATGCGATGAAAGATAGAAACACAAGAAAGAAAGCTTGAGGAAGTCTGTAATCTCCAGTCAGTTTGGTTTGCATCAGAAAACAGTTTAAACTGAATTATGAGAAAGTGGAGTCTGTTATGAAGAAGAAGCCACTGGTATGCATGTATGTTTCAGCAAAACATTGTATGCAGTTTTCACGGAAAGTGTATAGAGAGTAGCAGTATCAAAGGAATGTTCCGAAAATTGCATACAGCCTACAACTTCGATACATAAGTGGAAAGTAGGAGATGGCAATACTGCATTCCAATAAGTACTGCATTCAGGAATCTGTAAGAAAAGAATGTAGGCAGGGACAACACGCAGCATTGGGACACATGAATCAGATAGATGTAACTTGTCGTCACCAGGCATCATTTGGAGATAAAAGAAATCTGCGTGAACAAGATCGTGTATCATGCCGGCACCAGGTATCTGCATGTTTTCAGATAAAAGAGTCATGGGTTCCGGCTGCTCAAGATATACGGGGCAATACTACAGTACAGAAGGTAGTAACAGAGCATGACATTTTAGTTTTATTTTTCTTGATAACTGCTGCAATGGAACTATAAAGTAATAAGAAGAAGTGTTTGCGAAAGCACAACCAAAACGTACCAAGAAGTCTGGGTGGCACCAGTTTTCGTTAGATCGACAAATATGCTCCTTTCAGTATCGGCCCATCCATAGTATGGGTTCTTCCAATCATACTTGTACATAAACAAGAAATAGTTTAAGAGGTCTGCGAGTCAGTATCGGCACTTCCACTGTTGTTGTAAGCCTCCATCACGGTAGCTCCGTCAGCTGGATCAACCCAGAAATTAGCCATGACGTCTGCAAAGTCAACAAGATCCATCAAGGCTTTGTCCGGATAGGCGGCCTGCATGAGCATGCAGACATCTTCATCAAGGAGTGCAGCACTGAGAGGACGGAGGTTTTTAGCAACGTGATCACGCGAGAGATCCTCGAGAAACTTGATCTTCTTGGGATACTTGTAGTTTTCAGTATTGGCGCGACCGTTCAAGAATTTGATCACCTTCTCGGCCGTAGCAAGACGCGTGGTGGGTGTGTTGTTATCCTCTCCTACAACAAAAATGAGTTGCCTCCAACTGTATTCACTCGTAGCTGACTGTAGCATAGAAGTCTCACCATCAACTCCTTTCCTGTATAAAACAGCGTGAATGCCGAGGTCGTCCATCTTTTCGGCATTACTGGGGTCATTCATCCACTTCATATCGGGACCAAGGTACGGTTCTTCGTCGCAGTTGTGTTTCTTGAAATACATGGTAATAACACCAGGCCTGAGACCCTCGACTAGAGCATGATGGCGGCTGTCTTTGCGTCCCTTGGTGAAGCCTCCAGATGGCTTGAATTTGGCTGCATTGAATGCGCTCTTGGGGGAGGAAGCTTTGTTGCTGTTAGTAGTAGTACGCTTGGGACTAGACATAATTCTTGATCGAGCAATGAACAATTGGGAGGAAGTAGTGGAATATTGTGGTGTTTTGATTTATGAAAGCTTAGATTTAGATTGTGAGAGGATGCAGTGGTGGCGAATTTGATTGTTTGCTGGATGGTAGTATGTGAAAGAACCAAGCGTGTATGCATTATTGCTGTCTGTGCTCAAGTGTCTGTGCTCAAGTGTCAGTCACAAGAGTAACCATTAAATGTGCAACCAAGCGCAATAACCATTCAGTAAGCAAAATACTGCATGCATGCTTGTAAACGTTTCAATATTCACTGAAAAGACTTCTTGGTGAGTGAGCCTCTTGCTGAAATGACCATTGAGTGCGTGTGTTTGGAGTAGTTACACAGACAATGGAAGTATTAGGATTGAACCAGGTAAACATAGCAGCAATGATCCAGTCATCAGTACGTACCAGCTTGCTTATGAGTCATTGTCGTTGTATAGAACTACAACCTCGAAATTTTCTTTGTAGTAAAACCAAACTTAAAAAGAGTTGGTTGGCACCTCTGATACTTGACTTTGCGATAGGCCTTTTGAAGCTTTCTTGCAATCAAAATCTTCTTTCCTCGAATGGGTGCACAGTACGGTTGCTGAGTACTCGGATTACTAGTTGATTTGATATGGTCGTTGCCCAGCACCTGAGGTTTTTTTGGAATACAAATAATGGATGAAAAGCTCATTGAGTTTGTTTTAGAATTAAGTGCGGGAAAGCAAAGCTGTAGAGAAAAATGCACCGAAGAGACCAAGAAAATATATTTTATGGCAAATCACTCCATTGAAAAGTCATTTGAGGACTGGCTGACTGATGCCAAATCACAGCATTGAGACTGCATACATGTTTCGATCTGGACCAATGGTACCGGCAAGCATGTAATCTTTTGTTCGTACCAAAGAATTATGCGTCGGACATGATGTCATCATTGTAAGTACTTGAAGTGTCCAAAACTGGTTCATCACAAGCACCAACATCTTCAAGATCGGTTAACATGTTCCCAAAGAACTTCACACACGAAGAGCATCGAATACCACATGACGGCATAATCTTGTGTGTATCAGTAGCAATAATACCATTATCATATTCAGTCTCATTCAACCAGTCATGGGAGTTCCCAATAGGTAGATATTTACCAAACACAGGGAAATAAGCAACCAAGACAAAGAGCGCCACCGATTCTCCATGAGCTGGTTCAAATTGAATAGCCCTGCTTTCGTAAAAGTCTGTGATGACAAACTGTTCACCGAATAGGACGCTGTCCCAGTTTGTTCCATCCCAAGGATTGCCCCACCTAGTATCAGGATAGTACTTTCGCCAAAAAGCAGGATCCATTGGATATTCAGCAGTGATCGTATATCCGAGCGAAACAGTAGACCCATCGGGTTCGGTCATGCGTATGTCAGAAAGAATTAGCTGGCGTGAATACTGCCCAGGCACGACAGTCATGGTTGCGTCCGACATGTCATTTTTATCTTCATTGTCAATTGAGTCGATGTCAAACACATTCCTTGGAGCCGGATTGCATGTTGAAGCATTGGGTAAGGAGTAACCTGAGAAACTATGCTTGCGCTCGATGATAGAGGGCGTGTCTTCCACGATATTGGGGAAACCATCCTGTGTGACAAGAGTCATTTTCAGGCTCGATTGTGACTGCTTCTTCTTCTCATGTTCATTCCATTCGAAATGACGCCATGTTTCAGTAGATATATTCATGTTTGTTGTGGGCGATATACAAGTTAGGCTTGAATGCAAAAAAGACAATTTTAATATTGTGAGCAGAGATATGGAGTGTTTGATTCGGGGAGTCAATGTTAGCCACCGGCTCCTGGCAGTGGGACAACCTGGCAAGAAAGATCCTACACTTACTGGCTGGTATTTGCGCAGTTTTGGAATGAATGTTAACCATCAATGCAGTATGACAACCCAGCAAAAAGCATACACTTACTGGTATCTGAGCAGTTTTGGAATGAATGTTAACCATCAAGGCAATATGACAACCCAGCAAAAAGCATACACTTACTGGTATCTGAGCAGTTTTGGAATGAATGTTAACCATCAATGCAGTATGACAACCCAGCAAAAAGCATAGCCTACACTTACTGGTATCTGTGCTGTTTTGGAATGAATGTTAACCATCAGTTTTGGCCAACCTGGCAAGAACCATGCACTTGCTTAGTAGTATCTGTGCAGTCTTCGATGTGCCAGATGTTAATCATCCATCGAACCAGTATTCATGAGTCCGCTCAGCTTCGACCATACACGATGGCGGGATTCGAGTTTCCATGAGCGTTTTGTCATCATGCAAAGAGTTCATTGAGACGAAATTGCGGGATTGGGGTTTCAATGAGTGCTCGGCAGTCCGTTGTGCTGAGTTCATTCATTGAGACTATTTTCATGCGCATTTTCAATTGAATCAGTTGTATCGATGGTGCCGCGGCATATGCTGCTGCTGTGTGTTGACCATGCAATTAGTAGTACATACCACGATTCAATGTGTGACCTGAAGAGTCACACGTACCTGGTGGGACTACAAAAGCACTTTGGACATAGCCGATGTATACATAGAGTTATGTATGTAGAGCTAAGCTGGTGTTGTTACGGAGAATTGTAGTAAACTCGTTTCGTCCAGCAGTAGAGTGAACTTATATTGGACTGCCGGGAAATCTGTGTTCAACATCACGTACTTTTGGTGAATGTTTGCCACTGCTGTGAAAGTAAAGCAACGAACTACAACAACAATATGATGGTTGGGCCGAACAGAGTGTATATGGTGCTGTTCAGTTCTGTGCTCCAAATGAAGGTACACCACCCGTTCAACCAGAAGCAACCACAGAGTCCGGGGGTGCCAATGAGCATTGTTGTTGTATTGCTCAATCAGGAATACAATTTATTAGCTGGAACATTAAAAGAAATCATATATGAACTTCAAAACTTACAAAAATGGAGTACAAAACTCATGGAAATAAATTGGAATAGAAACATTTCGTAAAAAATTGTTTTGTCAGAAAACATATCAATAAGTCATTCCGGCCTCGCAAGCAACTGTCTACGTACAAAAAATTTGTGCATAGCTTCCGCTATATTCCACAGAATGAATAGTTCTGCCCATGCGATACTAGAAAATGTTGTTGTTGCCATTTAATTCATTTATTGCATATGCACTCTTTGAATTGGTTTGACCCAATCAAAAGCAGGCTTTATCCTTACTGTAGACCATGGTGCAATACCCTTCAATGTAGTCTAGAAACAGCGTCCTGCCTCATTTTAGACTGTGGTTCAACTGAACTAGCTGCAGCTAGCCAGAGGATCCAGGTATCACCCTACAGATTTAAAAGGATTTGAAGCCTGTTCAAAGGTTCATAGAAAATTATGAGCAATTTATGAAGCAACGTCGTAAACAGACAACAGAATGCATGCAGTATTCCATATACATGAACCAGCAAAACAATGAACCAGTAACAAACCAGCGAAGAACAGGTCGCAAACCAGTAACAACCCAGCGACAACAGAATGCATGCAGTATTCCATATACATGAACCAGCAAAACAATGAACCAGTAACAAACCAGCGAAGAACAGGTCGCAAACCAGTAACAACCCAGCGACAACCCAGCGACCAACCAGTGGCCAAGCAGCGACCACCCAGTGACCAACCAGTGGTAAGTCGGTGACAATTCAGCGACCAACGAGCAGCAAACCGGTGACAAACCAGTGACAAACCAGTGACAACCCAGCGATAAACCAGTGATAACCCAGCAACAAACCAGCGAAAGAATGCTAGTATGGCATGCAGTTTTCAAGTTTGTAACCAAGTAAAGCAGTTCCGTAATTCCTTCGTGAAACAAGAAACTGCTGGCAGTAATACCGAATAGAACAAATGCGAATGAATGAACCTGTTCAGAAAATAGAATATGTTGTCCAAAAGAAATAAGAAACAAGATACAATTTTGTACACAAATTCTCGCAACAACATGTTACATACCTAATTAAAATATATACTACTAACTCAGGCCTCCTCACAATTCCCAACACAGGGGGAAATCCAAACCATGACTGTATGCCGCTTTGCACTCATTGTAAGAAACAAACGCAACAGCAGGGGATAATCTTACTCAGTCCTCACAATTTCCAACACAGGGCAAAAAATCCAAATCATAACCGTATGCCGCTTTGCACTCAGTGCAAAACAAGCCACAGCAAGGAATAGCCTTTTCGAAATCCAGTGGAACCGACAATGGGTCGAACGCATTTTCATTTAGCCACACATCATAGTTGCCGATCGGTGTATATTTACCAAATGCAGGAATGAAGGCAACAACAACGTGCTTAGCCCAAAGACGGTGGCGGGGCACAAACTGTGTGCAAGGCGCTTCGTAGAAATTGCGAATCGTCCACTGCTTCCCAAAGAAGACACGTTCCGCACTAATGTGCACCCACTTATTACTACCCCGGTGGTATTTCATCCAGGCTGTTGGATCGGTGGGGGGTGCATCATCAATTACGAAACCCACAAAGTCAATCGCATCCGTACCGTCATCAGCGGGGGTTAAAATCTCCGTCAAATAATAGTATGTTGGTGGCTCGTACTCTTCAACTTCAGAAGATCCAACAGAGCTATCATCATTGCTTCCTCCATCATCTTTTTTCATGGGCATTGCAACCACGGCACGGCTACAATCACGACGGGCGGCTTCTTGTTTCAAAACGGTGTAGGAACTCTTGACTGCTTCCACCGTAACTCCAACCATAGCGTCGCTGCTACTTTTGTGCGTTTTAGTATCGATTGCACATTTCGATGTCATTTGCATAATTTCCGTAACCGTACTTTCATCCATGGAAAATTCCTCATCTGACTCATTATCGATCGGTTCTGCCATCATTGTCTCACCCAACTCGTCTTCACCATCTGTCAAATCAGCTTCTTCGAATGGTTCGTCGATGTCATAAAGAGTTCGCATATCCTTGCGAGCACCAAAGTCATCAGCAGAATTTAGAAAATCAATTTGGGCTTTGTAGGAAGCACCAAGATGATTCTTACGGGTTTTGTACGTGCTACGGCTGATTCTTTTTTCATTTGCCGGTTGCAATGCCGCGCGTAGTTTGGTAGCATTACGTGCAGCGCGCAAACTTTGCTTGTCAGAGGTAACCTTAACATTGTCCATGCTGGCATCAGTTGATTTGTTAGTTGCAATAATGGGATCGACTTTCATACTGCAACTGGCACCATTGTCAGTTTCTCCATTACAACTCTTGGCTTTGGCCACATTACCTAGCAATAGAAGGCCCTCTGCAGCAGCTCCAGTCAATCCATCACCATTGCTCATTGCTTCCACTTGTGCAGCACCCACCTCGCCCTCATCATCATCATCTTCAATTTCAATGACTTCGATGAACTTCTCATTGTCATCCAATTCAAACTGGCTGTGGTAGTTTTTCTTCTTCAAGTTTGGTTGGCTCATGGTGTAGGTTTTTTTGTTTGCTTTTTAGATTGATGCTGCCCGAATTGTGAGCTCTCTGGCCCTGCAGAAATGAACTGCCTCATTTCGAACTCTGTATCTGTGCTGTTTTGGGTAATCTTGCATTATTTTGCCGGGTTGCATTTGGTGACTGATACCAGTGGTTGCTGTGTTGCATTCTTCATTTCTAACCACTGACCATCCATCAAGATTAATCCCTTGCACAAGCTGGTCTTGAAATGCATGCTGGATCCTCTGTGGCAGAAATTCTGAATGAGAATTGAATCAACCATCAGATTCTGCGGGAGAGCATCAGATTCTGCGGGAGATAGCAATAAAGAAACACTAACCCTAAGGATAACCAACCAACCAAACGACCACCACAAAAGACGGCCTCAGAGATCACCGGGGTCTGCCCGGTATATAAGTACAAGACGAACCATGGCAAGAGTGAACGACCTACACGAAGACCTCGAGTCTACAATGAAGGAAGTGGCTTCTCTTGAAGTCCCTGGAGCTACAAAGATGGAGTACCATATCTTAGAGGGGGAGGAGTCGGTGTTGTTGCTGTGGCTTGATGATATCGAAAGGGTTTTGGAAGAGTACGCGTGGGATGCCATTGACACGGTTGAGCTGTTACATGAAGGCTTGGCGGTTCTTCAAGAATTGCTGAAGCTCCCTTTCACTGTTAAGAGTCCTCAGGAGTAGCCTATTTTACGTTGAATAAAAGACTTAAATTTTATAAATCTTATGGTGGTACATGTGTTCAATAAAGGAGTATGGTGTGTTTTTGGGGAGGTCACGATACCAGGGCTTAGACTTGTCCGTGAGGAGTGTTTCATTCATTCGGATAATCGAAAGATGGAGAGGAGTGGCGGCACTGAAAGGTAGTTTACCTTGGGTCTTTACACGTGAAGGCTGACTTAACAGGGCACTCTTGATGTTTTGGATAGCGTCGTTGGATTCTTCGATGGTGGGCGGCTCATCCGGATACTTCTCAAGAAACCTGACCATGACTCGGATGGCCGCTTTGATGTTGCGATACCTGCATCTCAACCGGTTGTCCACATTTCGCGTGGAAGTGTATGAGGCCATGAAATCATGGGCAAAGAAATTAATGAGGACGACTGAGGGGGGTGTATACCTTGTAACGAGATCGAAAAGGGCTTTCAGAGGTTTGGCCTGCAGATGAGATTGAAAGGGGGTTAATGAGTATTCTGGACTTGGTTTGGAAGCAGGGGTTTGGACGGGGGTTGCGGGGGCTGCCACTTCATTCTCAATGGTATTGGCTTTGGTGAACAACTCTTTACACTCTGACTGAAATTTGTTGAATTCGGTTAGGCTGATGTCTGCCTGTGAGAGTCTTTGCAAGAGGCTCCCAAAGATGATATGGTTGCTTGGATCCTTGAAGAGGCCGTTTGGTTCTGCTTGGATCTGATGCAAAAGCTGATCCCACTTGGAGAGAACACACACTAGGATCAATTGCTTTGCTTGCAAGCAGAGTAAGTCTTCGGAAATGTGCTTGAAGAAGACCGAGCAGATCTTGTCACCGAGGTCTTTGGAGTGGTACGGCGGAATGGTGACACGCTGATAGTCAATGCCAACCTTGGACCAGCCGGCCATGGCCTTGGCTCCATCTAGTAAATAGGGAAAGGGGTTGGCAAAGTACTCAACGCGGGCTCCTTCCCCAATATTCCACCCACCAAACAGTTGTGCGGCAACATGCTCCTTGGCTCCATCAAGGAGATATTGGGCTGTGTGTTTTCCAAAATGTGAAGTGCCTTTCCGGACAGTGTTATTGGTTGGCGCATAGCGCTTCCAGATATGGTCGAGGGTAGTCCTGTAATGAGCCGATACGGCTGAGTCGCCATTTAAGGTTGCAATCGAAGGCATCAATGCCTCATCATTCCGGAGGAACAGGGCTAACCCGATAGCCACAATGAGATCACCAAAGATGTCATACTTGTTGGGGATCAAGGGGTGATTATTATCAACCCCCATTTTATCACGGACAAGATAGCACTGTAGGATTTTGTTCCTGGGTCCTTCACAAACCTCCCGAATGGAGAGGTTTCTGGATGTAAGACGTGAAGTCTCTGTCGCGCGGCTGCAGAGACGTAGTGTCGCTGTTTGAAATAAAAAGAAGTCAATGTACTTCTCCTGATTCATCCAAAGGCAACGGGACAGGATGAATGAAACATCTTCGCTGTTGTATACTTTGTTTTTTGGAGGCGAAGGAGATGCTTTCTTCAGGTCTTTCACCATTGTCTTCAGCCCATTGAGGGCTGATTTGTAAGTCTCTTCGATGACTTTGCTGTACCGGGATAAAACAAACTTCTTTATCAGCTGGTTTTTTATGGAAGGCATGTAACGCTCCAGCGTTCCAATTGCATAATGGTCACCATTTTGCTTCTTGAGGGTGTACCAAAAGGATGGTTGGCCGTCCCAAAACTTGAACCACCACTTAGTAATGTCATCGTCATTCTTGGAGAAAGAACCTCCTGTTTCACCTAGGTCGGCATAATCCAACTTTGGAAGGCCAAGTTGATCCTGTAGACGATCAAGGTAGGTCTGGATCTTTGAGGCGGTGGTGTTATGCTTCGCCTGGCATGACTTCGAGGACGTAGCGTAAAAGTTAACTGAGACTTTAGCGAGGGGACTTTTCGATTCGGGTGCTTCGGGTGCCATGATGTTGGTGTGGTGTTTAGATTGTCATTAGGATGGAAAAATGGAGAGAAAAATGAGGCGGCGATGCACATGAGACGAGTTCGGAGGGAGGTTTGGAGGCACATTCATGGTGACTCTCCTGAGCAGCTTGGAAGTTGAAGTCCGATTTTGGGAACTCAAGATAACGAGTGGTTGGGATGAGCCTGCTGGGGAGTGGTGTCAGAACTGCGCTAACTGCCTGAAGAGGATGCATCATCTGTTATTTAAGCATTTTACGCGGGCTAGCTAATGACCGTTTAAGCTTTACAACTGTTGATTGATTTTTTTATTATGGCGCGAACTGCATGCTCTGTGTATTTGTGGGTGTTGTGAAAGATTTTCCTCTTGTTTGGGGGTGCATAGGATGCGAAAAGGTTGGTTGTTGTTGAATGGGGTTCAGTCATCGATTAGTCCATAGTGGTTGGGGGTGGGGTTAACCTACTTAACGGGTTTAGAGAGTCGGACTAACTTCATGGATTAAATTAGCTGAAATGGGTATACGTACGGAGTTCTGATGTTCTGTATGAAATTGCATTACTCTCTAGCGGTGGGGTTTTTGATTGGTGGATTTTGATTCGGATTCAACTTCAAGTGTCAAGGTCTTGGTTCGGTCATGCTTACGTGGGGTACCGAAGACTTAAGGGGATCGTGCTACTTGATCGTGAAGCGTGATGTTGTGGATGCACGCTTACGTTAGTCACTAGTCGGGATTCGATTTGTCATACGTGGATGCCTTGGTTTTAAGAAACTTGATAAAGTGGTTGACCTTGGAAATAAGATTAAGATGTTATACGTAGTCACTAGTCGGGATTCGATTTGTCATTAGGTTAGGGGTTACTCCACAGTTACGGATGAGGGGGATAGGGTTATCCCCAGGCGGTCGCTAGTCTAGATCTTGATGTTCTTTAGTTCTTGGTGTGGAGTAATCCAGTTTGTCATGGCTATTAGCATGCTACCTTGGATTGATGGGGGTTGGTCTAGATCCATGTTAGTGTCATCTTGATGTTGAACGGCGTACATTGGAACCAAGTGGGCACGTTTACTTCCTCATCTTCATGGATTAGACAACAAAGGATTAGGGAACCATGTGCATTGTTGTAACTGATAAACCCTTCAGTTACAAACTTCCGTTTCATGAATCCATCATGGTGATGTAATCTGGTAGGCTGATAATGTTGGAGGTGACTATCCACATTTTTTTACGATGGTGGTGTTATGAAGATTGAAGATTTTGCTTTTGAGATTAAGGAGGAGGGCAAGGAGGGACAATGGCAGAGCTGCCAGTGAGCTCCCGTCAGCTCCTGCTTCTAAGGTGGTTGAGGATGCGCCAAGTCTTCCATCTGCTCCTACTCCTAAGGTGGTTGAGGATGCGCCAAGTCTTAGTACTGCTAGCGTTCCTATGGATGTAGAGGAGATGCAGGCGTATATGCAGAACTACTATTGGACTCCTGTTGCTTTAAGA